TTCAGCACTATCTATTTACAGCACAAACCACTAATTATAATTAATCTTTTTAAAAGAAAAGGAATTCCTTTAATACCGCACAAACAAAAGTTAGTTAATAAAATAACATAAAGAACAAATCTGTGAATGTTACAGAATAGTTAGTAAAATTGCGAGGAGGAGAATGATAATTACCTCTTACCAAGCATCACTTAGACATCACGATAACATCTTGGCAAGTAAAGTATGGCGACATTTTTCTTTTAAACTGTGGAGCCCACCTTTGTCGACCGTTACCCATCCTTCATCAATTCAAATGGGAAACCTTTAAAAGTATACTAACAAAAGCTTATAAATGGTGATGGAGTATCTTCTAATGGAGGAAGGAGCCAGAAGGAATTGATGGCTAATTTGTACCAAGATGAATCATTTCTTGACCTTTTGTGCATGTCATTATAAATGCCTATGTAGATTGCAATGTAAGAAAAGTGGGCTTTTTTTTCGTGCTCAATTATACATATAATACTGCTTGTTGATGTAGGCTTGTGCGAGAGATTTGGGATTTGAAATTTGCTATTTAGTTTATTTTAAACGAATTTGAAATTTGTTCTATTTGATCCACTTTCAAATACGTATATAACTTATATGATATAATGTCGGCTCAAGCCATTGTCTACCATCATCAGCCACCATCTCGCTTTTGTTGTCCACCATAGGTCTGCACGACCATAGAATGATAGAACAAATAACTGGAAAGAACATAGCACTCTTCCTTGGCTGTAAATTCATTTTATTATTATTTTAGCATACATAACAATCATCAAAGTATTAAGTTATTACCATTTTTAATGAAAAATAAGATTAAATTAACAAGTAATCACTCTTTTAAAGTTTTGACTAAAAAGTAGACATGCTTTTTTAATCTTATGATTAATTTTATTAAGAAATTTGAGTATTGTGTGTGATTAATTCTAATTAATAGTATCCTAATTATTAGTTAAGTGGCTAATGATTTTAATTACAATATGTTATAGAGATATTGGAGAAATTTTTTGAATGAAATCTTTAATCAGATAAAATTCTACTAATAGAAGTGTCAATCATAATTTGCTGAAAAATTGTGTAAATATATTTTATTCACACTTCTATGAAAATAATTAATCAATCTTTATATACATAATAAAAAAAGATTATTACTCAAAATAGAAAATACTAATAGAAAAAAGGGGTATAGTCTGCTGACTAATGGACTGCAATAGCTCTTATGTATGATTGGATTATGGCTATAGAAGATTAAAATATGACAAGAGATTATATTGATCATGATCACGCAACAGATTAGAGAACTGTGCTTTGGTTGCATCACAATTAATCGCCAAAAGCTATTTTAAAAACCAGTAAGAAAGTCATCTCAAACGAAGCTTAAGAAGATGAGAAAAAATTTATAGAAATCGAAACAATCTCAAACACAAAAAGAATCACCAAAACAAACAGTTGAGGTATAATATAAAGATAAGAGAGTTTCAAATATATGCCTTCATTTCACTGAAATTTAAGAGCTTAATTAGGAAATTATTATCAAAATATTTATGATATGTTGCACTTTAAATGCGGGGTCGGGATAAATTTAAATGTTATAGATTTACATTGAGATTAGTGCTTATGTATGATTTCGTCCGGACATAAATTTCGTTACACTATTCTTACAAATTATTTTTTATTAATTGAACTACAAGCATTTGGAATAACTTTGAATTCACATTTTCCAAAAATCCAAACAAAAAGGATAAGAGACAGAACCCAAATTGAAGATTATAAAAGCATGACGCCAAATGAGAATAGTGAAATGAAGAAATTAGCATAGAAGAACGAAGAAGAAAGAAAATAGTAGAAGTTGAACGGTTAAGGGGTTATTTGGTTAAAATAAAGTGGGTGCAACGTAAATCATTCATATGGGTTTTAAAAATATTAGTGTTTGATTGGAAAACAAAAAGAAAGCAAAGTAAAAGGAATATAGTGCTATGTATTTTAGTTCATTTTTTATGTAAAGTAAACTCATTTTGGTTTCCTTTGGAGCATATTGTTTTTTAAAGAAGCTTTCTAGCATATAAACTTTTAAAACTAGAATTTTTTGTCCTAGAAAGTCATTTTAGAAAGCAAGAAGAAAGCCATCCCAAACAAAGACATAATTTTGAGCGAAAATTATTTTTGCTGCAAACAATCTCCCTTGTCGCCACCCCGCCACATACCAGCACTACCACCCCTGGCATCAATCATCAAACCCACCTGTCGCGGCCACCAAACCACAGACATCCCCTGCCAATACTACCGCATGATTATATTTGAATGGAGGGGCTGGGCGAGACAAATCCAACAAGCCCAAGATCACTTAGTTTTGATTCATTAAGGCAATTAAATATTGAATAAATATTCTTGATTAAGGAAATTAATGCACACAATCATATAGAACACTATGAAACTTCCTTGAATTTTTTATATATTTATGAAGCATATACTCTTAAAATTTATAAGTAGGCTCCCATGGCCTGCATGAGAGATCTTTTGGCTAGAAATTGAAGAGAGCTCTAAGACTTCAAGTATTCTAGAGCTCCACCCGGGCACCACTACAAATGAACTTTTATGGGCTAGCCGCCGTTGGACTATCTTCCGTCTGCTCGGCCCCGATCACAATCGGACCTCCAGTCTGCTGCAAACTGTAGACTGCCTTCAGACCTCTGCTCGGCCTTCGATTGCTGTCGAACATCTGTCCGGCTCCTCTTGTCCGTACCGAAGGTCCCACGCACTTAACTTTACCTGATGATTCATATTGCTGCTGACCTCATGTGGGGCCCACGAAGATTGTTGAATCTCCTGTTGGAGCCTATTCACTGGGAGTAATTTGATTCTCGAAACGATTCTCGTTAGAATATATATATATATATATATATATATATATGCAAACAATGGAAAAAAGAAGGTTGCCCAAAAGACATTCATCATCATCTTGATGAAAAAGCTCTGAGTTGAAACACTAAAGCTTTGTTTGTTTGATCGTTTTTTGCCTTTTAAATTATTGATTTATATGAAATTTAATTTGTAGAAATTTAATTTAAAGTTTTTTTTATCTTAATATATTGTTTGTGAGTATTAATTATCAATTAAGAGGTCTTGAATTACATCTTATGTTTGTACTATAAAATTCTTATATATTTATTCGTTCTATATTTAAATATTTATATTAGTTTATAATATATTTTATCTGCCGAATATTTGTGACAGCAGCAGAGAGATAAAAAATTTATTATCTTAACATTTTTATGAAAATAAAGAAGGGTGCAAATGTTAGAAAGAGATTCCAAAATCTACATTTCAATTCTTTATCTTATTTTTATTATTTACGAACACTTTAATGTTAAGGCATAAAATAAAAAGATGTTACAGGCAAATTGGGTTATCTATATAACCCAATCTAAATTAACTCATGTTCATGCAATGTTATAGAGAAACAATCTTAGTGTTATAAAATTTTTATAAGATTTTTATAATATAGTATTGAAAAAAAATATATTTATCATAGAATAATATTTTTAATTGTACATATGATTTAAATTTTAACTCAAAGATCATTAAAAGTTGAATCAAGCTCAAATCGAATAAGTTGAGTCACTATCCAAATTTTTGAATAAATTTGATCTTCTAGTCCATTTTAATTTAAAATTTGATCAAATCAAGCCAACTTCATATGAGCTCAAAATATGTATATCTTTATTTTTTAAAATGTAATATATATTTGCGGCAGTAAACTGGGTGAATTTTATTCCTACCGATGCACACATATCTAACACACAAATAAATAGCTGAAAAGAAGTCGGAAAAACACCATAAAAGTTTTTTTTTACATGAAAACCCAAAAAAAGAAAAACCACTGTGGGTCTCGCCCATGTGAAAAGGTTTCACTAAGTTTGAGTTAATTACAAAGGTTGACCAATCCTTTAACTAGAGGCAGTGATAAGAGTTTGAAGGGTTGGGTGGAAGCTCGATGACATACGAAAGGAAGTCCAGCGCCCATTGGTGGCCTGACAGAAGCCCATTGGCGGTCAGCAATCAAAAGCTAGGTGGAAGTTTGACGACAGCTAGGTGGTGGTCCGTCAGTAGTCGATGGCCGGCCAAGTCAAAGTCTAATAGCGGTCGATAGTCGGGAGGTGGTCCGTCGGAGGCTGGTCGATAATCCGAAAAGGGTTGGGTGGAAGTCTGGCGGCTTTCGGGGGGCTGACGGTGGTCCAGCAATAGTTGGTGTTTGATCAACAGTCTAACGATTATCGGGCGGCTGGGCAATGGTCGTGTCGGCTTATGAAAATTCTCTAGTAATTGTGCTTTGGTGGAGCTCTAAATCCTTGAAGCCTCAATGCTTTATCCAATTTAGAGTCAAAGTTCCCCCTAGCTCATGTAAAGAGTGGGGGTCTATTTATATATTTTTGTGAGTTACTCATCTTGTAAATATGAAAAAGATCCATGGCAGGTTTGGAGTGCTCCATCAGATGGCCCGTATTGATTCGTCGATCATATAGTGGCTTTCAACTATTTATGTGCCTTAATAATGTCAAAATTATTAATCTTGGGCTCGTTAGATTCATCTTGTTGAGTCGCTCAATTTGACTATAAGTATGTCATATTTAGATATCATTTGGTCATACAATTTAACACTTTGAAACTTCCAAATACACTTTGGTCCCTTGATTTGGACCCATTTGAGCTCGGATCAAACTGATTGCATTGTTGTTGGGTTCATCTCCTTGAGATTTTTAATTTTACTATAAATTTGTTGAAATAGAATTTGGATAGTCCTAAATTTAATTTTGAAAGATTTTAATTAGTATATGTCGAGATTTGTATCTGATCAAGATATTTTTTTATGAGATGTGTGTGTGTATATATATATCAACTCTTAATTATTCCGCTAAAAAGGAATAATAGATTTAACGCGTGAGATAATTAATATAATAAACTCCATTGAGGTGGATTTGTCGGCAGGATTATTTGAGACATCATCGGCTCCGCTATAAATTACCATTACATTCTTCGCTTCTCTCACGGACAAACTCATCTCTCTCTCTCTCTCTCTCTCTCTCTCCTCCTTCCTTATTGTTTACTTTGGTTTCTTATGGCGAGCGTAGAGGTGAGCCCTTCTCTACTTCTTCGTAAAACTGATTAATTAGAAAGGCCTTTAAGCGTGATCTGATTTATACAGCTTAGAAAACAGACTATAAAAGATGCTTGCTTTAGCAAAGCTCCTCAGCAATAATTTATTTTTTAATACAACCTTTGATATACTCTCATAATTCTTAGATTTATTTATATATATGATTTTATAGTAAAAAAAATTACACAAAATATTCTTTTACTGCGAGCTGTTTTTTCTATTTTACCAAATCTTTTTTAAATTTACTATTTAATAATGAAAACAGTTAAATTTTTGTAAAATATACCATTTATTTCTTCCTTCTTTGTTCCCCTCATCTCAAAATAAATTCTATCTGAACAACATATGGAGCTACTAAATATGTAGGATCAAATAAATTACTGTATATGACTTCTCAAGAAATTTTCACTTGGAAAAAATAAAATTTTCTGGATGATCAATACTTAAAAGTGCTTATTTTATGATGAAAATGAAAAGATCTTTGCATGTTGAATGAAAAGTCTTCGCTTCGCAGGTTGAATCAACCCCAGCCGTCGAGATCAACCCCGCTCCCATCACCCTGGAGACTCCGGCGTCCCCTGAATCCCCCGACGTCGTAGAGCCGCCAGCTGCCGCCAAGGAGACGCCGGAAGAGATCGAGGCTACTCAACCCATCGCTGATTTACCCGAGTCCGAAGATCCGGGAGCGACCCAGAAGCTGGAAGATGAGGTGTCCGCCGAGGTAGCTGAAGATGTGGCGCCGGCAGGCGAACCGGCGGCGGAGGAAATAATAATCAAGGACGAAACAGAGGAGAAAGAAGAAACGCCGGCGCCAGTAGCCGAAACAGAGCCGACTCCGACGGCGGAGGAGTTGAAGGCTCCTGCTGAGCTGGAGGGCGGGCCCGATCCTCCCAAGCCTTTGGAAGAGGAGGAGAAGGACGCTGAGGTGGCAGAGTGACATGGATAAAAAGTTGATTATATGTATTTACGTATGGTATGAATGGTATATGTGTTATGTAAGATGATGGTGATGATGATGTTGAGATGGTATGTTGATTACATGTTTTAAATACTAAGGTATGAGAGATGAGAGAGATGAGAGAGATGAGAGAGGGGCCTGTTGTGGTGTGATATGTAAAATGTTGATGTTGAGATTATTAATTTGATGGGGTGGATCTATTTGTGTTGTGTATGTATGTGTTTTGAATGTGTTGGTTGGTTTAATTAATAATGTTTGGATTATAATATTTATTATGATTAATAGTTGTAAAAGAGACGAGTTTAAAATAACCTCCTTTTACTTATGATGGCAAGTTTAAAACATGCAAGTATAATTTGAATTGCTCTTACCTCTAAAGAGAAATTATTTCGTGCGTAATTCGGGCAAGAAGAATCGTCTGAATTTTGAGTGGACATACATTATGTTTTGTACAGAGTGACTTCGTTATGGACAATTCTTTTTACTATTTTTTAAAATAATTTTTAGTACAAATATTTTTTGAATGAGAAATTTTTGTACTAAAAATCTGCTTTAGAAAGCCTTAAGAAAGCCTTCGTAAATGAACCCTAAATCGATAGACTTGGGCTTCATTTGGAATGATTTTATTACTATTTTTTAAAGCAGATTTCTAATAAAAAATTAAAATTTTTGTAAAAAAAAATATTTTAAAAAGCAGTAAGAAAACTGTCCCAAACAAAGCCTTTTGGAAAACTTAAATTTATCATGATGGCAAGTTTGATCAGCATAATCAAATTTTTTTTTTCTAATTTTACTATTCGCATTTATAATTTATTTCTTAATTTCTTTTCTTAGACATTAGTGACTGATTCAGGCAATGAATATATTCAAAGATTATAATTATTTTAAAATGTAGCGTCAATATCTCGTGAGATAAATGAGATTAACTCAACAGTTAGCGAATATTAAGTATTAAAAGATTTTGCAAAGAAGAATTATCTTAATCAGATTTTTTATCAGAACCAATTTTGAGTTTTTTAATATTTTATGAGATTTATGGCCTTAAAATGCAGGTGCTCTCCCTCAACTCACATATCAGTATTTCATAATTATTCTATTATACATAACTCATCTTGTTCTGTTAGCTGAGAGCTTTGACTATCTGCCAAGAGGTCTTGAATTCGAAGCTTGCGTATGTGATATGTGTGTAAATTTAATTTAATTGGACTACCTACTAAGAGGTCTTGATGTCCTTACATTATAAAATAATTAGGATACAAAAACAAGTAGCAACTTTGGCAAGTTACCATTCAAATTTGTGCCAATACAGGTGATGCGGAGCATTTTAGCTTAAAACGTTCCTTAGGCTATCTAATTTAGTTTGTTATAAATTTGTTATAAGTTTCTAGAACTTTCTAGACTTCTCTAGTTTTCTACTTGATTATTAGATATATATTGTGTAAGAAGAATGTATGGATGATGAATGTTATTCTCCTTTTATGCTCTTAAGCTTTGTGTTCGTCCCTGCATTGGGATTTCCTGCTTCCATATCCGATTCTTCCGACGGTCAACCGGAATCAATAAAAAAACTTATAAAAGATTGTTATTTTTCGAGTTTATAATCACAGCAGCATACATGTAAAAACTTGATAGAAAACAAAATCCATTCATTGATAAAAAATAAAACAGCCACTGTCTAAAAGATTTCAATATAACTTCTCAAAAAAAAAAAAGCAGCAAGAAGAACTGCTTGATCCTTGTTTTCATTCTTCAATTCCAATGTTTGCAAGGCTTACTCTGTTGAAGGACAACTCGGCCTTGTAGGAATCAGAATTCAAAGTTTTTCTACTGACATTATTGAAAATCTCTGTGATGACGATCTCAAAGGCAGTCTTCGCATTTTTGGAATAAAGTGCTGAAGTCTCAATGAAGAATAGTCCTTCAGCTTCTGCGAGGCTCTTGCCTTTCTCAACTGGGACTGCTCTTATGTCTTCCAAATCGCATTTATTTCCCACTAGCATCTTCGCAACTGTTGTGTCAGAATGTGCTGCGTTACAGTGCCACAGATTGTTGAGATCATCAGCAACGAAGCATATATGGATTGGAATGAGAAATTTCAGATAATTTGCAAAAGAATATTAGTTATTTACTACTAAATTGAAGACTTTTATATGTTCCATTATGTTTCTACCAAATTAATTACAGGACTTGCTTTGATTGCTTTGGTTCAGATCATGTTAATAGAAGAAGAAAAAGTGAAGCTATAAGAGCAGTCATAAAAAAATGAGCTATGCTCGATGAAAAGAGCAAAAACACCAATAAAAAGAGTGGCAAATCCAAAAAAATGAGCTTACCTCAGCACATATAATAATAGAAACCTAATAAAAGCCAAAATTGGGGAGACCACAAGCTTAGGACTCATATAAGATTTCACATAAAACTTTCTGCATCATAATGAAACGAAGAGCTCCCATGGTTGCTGTAGAGACCGTCGAAAGGAGTCTGGAGTTAAGGGAATATCGTCATCGTCCATAACTACGACAACTCCCGCCAGAATATCTGGTCAAGTGCTAAGATGCAACTGTTTTGTATTTTCTATTTTTTCTGCATGGGATGAAGTACTATGACACTTAGGGATAAGGCCCTTTCTTCTCTTCAAAATTCTTAAAATGAACATCTTGGAGTCCAAAAAGGATAATGTTTTTTCACTATTTTTAAATAGTTTATATGCTGGGAACAGCAACTTTTAAGAAAATAAATTTTCTCAATTTATTTGTGGTAGATCAAAATTTTTTTCGCCAAATAAGAGTTATTTTATGCTACAATCTTCCATGCTTATATTTTGTATACTCATAAAATCATCAAAGGACTACATTTGCTTATCTCCTCAATGGTGTTTTGCTGTATTTGGAAAAAGAAATTAATGACAGATTAATAATATGAGGAATTGCAATATGGCAATTGCAATTAAAGTTAAATTGCAAGTTGCATTGAAATATGGAGATGGAAATGCAAAGGGTTTGGCCATTGGCAAATAAAACTCTTTTTAATTTGTGGAGGATTGGTTAAAATTTTTTTGAAGTCTTTTTCATTGTGATAAATTTCTTGATTCCTAATTTGCTACCTTTTTTATGAGGCTTTCACACACACACATGTGTGTGTGCGCTTTCTATATATATAAATTTTGCTTCGAGTTCTAGTTAATGATGTTGCACATTGTAGTACATCCAAGCAACTATCGTCCATGACTCATTTTGACTCATTGATCAATATTTTATGCAATTTTGTCCGATAATATTTGAATAAAGTCTTTTTTTTTTAAGCTTGCTCTAATTTTTTGGGTAGAATGTCTTTAGGGGTTTGTCTATCATTTATCATTTATTAAATTGATCAATGTCTGCATCATTAACCCAAAAAAAAGAAAGAATAGTAATAAATCAGTTACATTTGAATTTTAAATAAACTTTGAACTAAAATTTTTTGCCATGGTATTATTAACCATGAGGGCAAGCCCAAAATCATTTGAAGGGGTAGGATTGAAAAAGGATTTGAAGATGAGCTCTAATGGATTCTAATCATCTTGAATTTAATAATGTATAATCAAAAGAAAATTAATTAAAAAGATTGATTCAATTCTATTCATTCAAAATGATTGAAGGGTAAACATATTATAACTACATTCATGGCTATAAAAATTGAAGTTTAATGTTTAATTTACACAAATATCCCACACACAAAGCAAAGAGGATGCATACAATGGGGGCACATAATTTTTAAATGAAAGAACTGCAAAGTGATAAATGATGGTGTCTAGCACAATACATACTTTAGCATGTATTGGGCGATACATGCTATTGGATGTTATGTTGTGTATAATGATGGGGCATCCATGAATGAATGAAATTAGTCATGTAGCATTAGAAGATAGTCAGAAGAGATCAGGTCTACGCCGAACGACCGACAGAAGAAATTCCTCCCCTCTCACCTGAGCTTGAATCCCCTAAACGTCAAAAAAAAAAAAAAAAAAAAAAAAAAAAAAAAAAAATTTTTTTTTTTTTTTAGGGACAACTCACAACGGGGCCTATGCGTTAATTAAAATAAAATATACAAGTCCTTAAAGAACCAAATGCACACTAAAAATAAAACATTTGAAATAAAACTTAGGAGTCATTGGTTTAACCTAATAAAGTGTTGTAGAATTCTTTGATGATTTTGAGATTTATCAATACTAAAAATCCATCTACGATGCATAAATCATTTATATTTATATTTATATATTTCAGGAAGTGCATTTTTTCCTTTTTTTTATCAAGATTTAGTGATTTGATGCTCAAAATTAGGTGACATAAATTATTCCCTTCTCATTTCAAAGGTGCTTTAAGAAACTGTAACAAAACCGTCCCAAACAAAGCGATTTTAACTGCAAGTGTTGCAAATAAAACTTATGTTGTTAAGCTCTATCTATTACACAACTCACTTTTGTTTGTAGATTGCGAGCTTTGAGTCTTTGACTACTACGTGGTCTTAGATTTGAGCTTTGTGTATTTGATGTTAGTATGAATTTATCTTAATTAATGATATAATGTAAAGGAAAAATATATAAGAGGTTTACAATCTAATCTGCTGCCTCGTTCACCACCTTGTGCAGGTAAAATAAGTTGTATTTAACGACAATTTTATTATATTCTTTATATGACGTTTCTGTGGAGCTTATTTTCTTGCCAATGTTATTTTTTTGTCAATCTTCAATTAGATTTTAGAAATTCATTTATATGCCTATTATTGTACAAATATCTTTGGTGTTAACTGATGCAGTGTAAACAAGTGAAGTCGAGCTCAAGTTACCCCTGGTTTGCACACAATCTTTCTTAATTAATCAAGTTCCAGCTTGAGCTCGGACTTTATTCAACGAGTTCGAGCGTTTATTATGAAAGAGAGAACACGATTATGATTTAAATAGTTACTATAACAAAATGATAAAAAAAATTGAGGAATTATAAGAAAAAATAATAAAGAATTTCTTAATATAAAAAAGTGTTTAAAAAAATGTACTTAAAATGTTAAATCATAATATATTTTAAGTATATTTATATTAATATTTTTAAGTGAGTTAGATCGCGAGCTAATGAGTTGAGTTGAGGCTGGCTCAAACTTAGCCCATCGAGCTCGACTGACATGGCATTTATCAAGTCAAACCTGACCTAAAAGCTGATTTGACTTGCTTAGACCCCAGA